TAGTTTATATTCATAAAAATGGCTAAATTTTAAACATTTAATTTTGTTTTGTTGATGACAATCCAGATTTAAGGAAAAAGAACCTATTTAAAAATGAATTTGAAGGAAATTTCCTACACAGACTATAGAAGGACAGAAATGACAGAAATTAAATAATCATTAATAGGTCAAAATTCAAATGAAAACTGATTATGATTAAGCAACTTACCTATGGAGTTGTATGTAAAATCCAAGTAATATTGCTTATCTCCTGACATACTGGTGTAGAAGTCACTTATTAGCTATTTATTTAATCCACTGCCTTTCTCCAGTGTTCCTTGTGATTAGGTGTGGCCATGGGGTTGAAATTTAGTTAGTGGAACTTGAGCAGAAATGTTATAGACACCACTTGCAGGATGGACACCTAAAACCTTGGGCACACTTATCTCATTTCTCTCAATTGCTGCCTGAATGTTGACATCTGAGGCAACCATGGATGCCATGTATTAATTATGGCTAAAACTCCATTCTATGGGAGAGAGACGCTCTCTCCCATCAAATGCACAAGAAATTAAATTCTACTGTGTTAAAAGTCATGGGCATTTCTCTCTTACGTTTATTAATAACTATCTTATAGGCTTTTAATGTTCATGATCTATCTATATATTTTATTAATACTGTAATAATGAAATAGTTTTTGTGAGCGTGTCTACATCAGTTAGCAGGCTGTTCTCTAATTGCACACAACTTGATACTGCAAAATGATCAAATGAAGCTACATAATGGAACGATTTCAAAAGAGTTGACACTATCAAACTTGAAGTCACTTAGTCTAGTGAAATAAAATAAACTTTGTGAAATAAAGATCATTCCAGGAAGGTTTTAAAGCAAACAACACATGGTTTTAAAAACAAGTAAAAAAACACTGCCATGAAGGTGAAAGCCAAATTTCTTTGAGAAAGAGAGAGTTTCCAATATTTGATAAAACATGCTAAGGTAAGAACTATGCAGTAGAGAGATTATTTTAGAAATTAAAATATCAGTAAGTTTGCCTGTTTAAGGACAGGTTAAGCCCTTGACTGCTTAGTCACATGGAGTCCTTCCCTTATCTTCAAAAACCACAGTATAAATAGCTCTAGATTATTCCCTCAGACTGTGTTGCTGACTAACAGACATCTTCATAATAGCCAGTTGGCATCTATCTCCTTTCCTCAAAGACAAAAGTTCAAATCCTGTACCTCTGAGACATGTCGTATAGCCGTAGCAGCTGAACATGAACAGAAAGTGTGGGGAGGTATCAGACAGCTGCCAAATATCTGGGTTTACCTAGGGCATGTACTTTCTGTACTAGTGTACCCAAGATTATATCTTTCTTACAGAGTGTTAACTCTCCATGGTTGGCATAAGTTAGGTCCATTGACTCAAGAATCACATCATGAAAATCCTTTGAGTATTCATGAGTGAGTGGGCTGGGATGAAATAATAATTTCACATTGCAAAACAGAATAGATTTAAGAGTTTTAATGTCTCAGGTGACATTTTTATCATTATTAATCTCTCCTTATATTTTTGAACAGCCTGCCACAAGAGTGATATGCCCTTGACTTTAGGCTATGAACTTTCAAAACAGTAAATAGTCTTTGTATTTCATTATTTCTGTTAGCAGAATTGCAACTGCAATGGTAAATAGGACATTATTTAGATATTATTCTATCCCAAGTTTTATATATCATTATAATAGATATATTTTTTTGTTCAGAGATGATCAATTTGAAATCCCATTACTACTTAGATATTTGTCTATTTAGAAATAGCTTTGTGGGGGCTGGAGTTGTGGCTCAGAGGTAGAGTGCTTGCCTAGCATGCATGAGGCACTGGGTTCGATCCCCAGTACCACATAAATAATTAAATAAACAAAATAAAGGTATTTAAACAAAAAAGAAATAGCTTTGTGATAGGTTTGTGCTTGTAATTTTAATCCCACTTAAACTTTATATCATAGCCAAGGAAACTATAAGCTAATGTAATTCAAAATAAAGTTTAACATTCTAGAGTTAAAATTTCCAAACTACTGTAAATATATTATTTTCAAAAACCCTATCATGATAAATATTTTCTTTTTAATTACTCTGGATATATTTTACTTATTCAGTAAACAAAAATTAAAAACTCAATAAAAATAAATAAATTAAAAAATAGAAAAATGGCATAATTTTTTTAGGGATGTATGTGTGTGAAAGAGACAATGAGTATGTGTATGTGTGTGAGACAGAGAGGGAGAATGTGGATATTTATTTTAATTTACTTAATGGCCTTCAGCTTGAGTTTTCAAAAAATATCATGACTATAAGCAAATTGATAGAAAAGTAGATAACAATGAATTAAGGGTTACTGGCAACCTAAGACACCGTTTATCTCTTTTGAGGTAGACAGAATTCAAATTGCCTTCATTAGCTGAGCAATATGCTGTGGAAAATTATCAAAAGGCTTTTTCATTTGCATTTTCACTAAATAACCAAGCTGCTCTGTTTTCTCCTTGCTCAAGAGCTGTAAATAGGATAGGAAGAAAATAATTCAGGTAAGTAAGCCAGGGGCATTCCAGGACTAGATTAAAGAAAAACAAAAGTTTATTGATGAAGATGTAAAAATTTTGTCTTGTATTATTTGTGATACAATAGTCTCACATGCAGTTTGGATCTAGTATATACAAAGGCATGAATTCTCCCCACATTCCCCAGTACCACAAGCAAAGCTAGAGGCTGTTCTTTTGATAAATGATCAATACTTCAGCCTGACACTACCCTGGCTGCCCTGCTGTTTCTGGTTAAGAGTTTGAATTTCAATTAAGCAGTAAATCTTTATGGAATTACATTTCCTACAGTCAATTAACATCTCACTAATCCCTTGCAATTCTGAAACATTATTATTTTGTACAGTTCTTTCCTTTAGGCACATTCACAAGGCGAAACATTCTTATTTGAGTGCTAAAGACATATTTTCCTCCAAATGAAAAACCAAGTATCAAACAACTGTTTTAAGTTTTTAGTCATGTGGCTGTATGTGCAGAGAATGTTCTATCTCCACAGTATAAGTTAGGAAGCAATCAGATAAACCAGTGGATTCTCTCAGTGACAAGTGACTTAAAGTGATTGCACACCTACAGGCCACATGCTATATTTCAGATTTTTTTTCTATATATCCATTCCTTGAAAAACAATATACAAAACAAAAATAATTCACAGCAATGATCATATTCAAATGAATATAAACATTCCCATTTCCTATGTCATCAAATCCTCTTACCGAGTTTTTCTTAAAAACTTTGTCTATTTTTAAAAAGTGTTGGTTGATGTCTTAAAAACTCACTAATAGAGCACACATCCAAGAATTATCACAGCCCTTCTTTGTCAAGGATTTCAGCATACTAAGACAAAATATTGGCAATTTGATAGTTTTCTCCTTCATATAAGATTTTAATACATTTTAATTTATGAGGCCAAAAAGCCAAATTAACACAACTTCAAGACTACAGATTTTAAAGTTTCAGCATAAATAAGTGATACGTATTTAAGGAACTAGACATATTTAATCTTATTTAAACTTTACACAATGTGTACATGTATGGAAATGTTACATGTTGTCCTGAAGTATATATAGTTATTAGTTAAAACATTAATTTAAATTTTAAAAATAATGTGACTTTAATAATTGGATATATAATTGCAATAAAAGATTATTTTCTGTTTTCAGAACTTCAAGACCATTATTCCCCTGGAAGCAAACATACTTTTGCCTGTGCCAACAAAATTCTCCCATTAGAAGTACCACTCTTTTTAATAATTTAGAGTGCAAAAACAAAATGCTAACAATTGACTTGAAGTCTGAGTGATTTCATTGGGATGATTGGGTGACTTTGATAAAAATAAAAGAAAATTTCATTTTAAGTGATATCAGGATCAAACTTTGTTTTCTTTTTTTTCTTATTTCTTAGATACATCGCAAAGAATCAAACTTTATGGTTCAACAACCATATTGCCAGATATTGTATTATTAGATGCTCAGATATAGTTTATATAGTCCTGCATAGAAAGAGCTTCCACTCACATTCTTCATAGCCTGTTATTTAAACTACATGGTAAGAACAAGAAAATACACATCAGACAGAGGCTTTTTGAACTGATGGCTATTTAGCCAGCTTTTAAACATTAATCTGCTTGACTCCAAGGTTTTTGGCTTTTCATTCCACTACACTTGAAATCTCCTGATAAATCTGTCTCTGTCTTTTAAATAAAAAGTTTTGAAAAATATAAATATAATTTATTTTGGAAAACAAGAACAGTTGTGTTTTCTTTTAAAACTGATTGCTATTTTAACTCAACCTCCGTTCTATCCATTACATGACTGAACCCTGGGTGTCCTAAATATGCGAAGCTATTACAATAATCCAGCTAACTAAACCTTCTAATGCATTAACAAAGCTTCATTTCATGACTAGGCTTAACTCATCAAGGAAGAATTAAGAGTTTTATTAGCTGATTAGTTGTCATCAAAGCTATGCATTCTTGTAGTAGAACAACATTCTACAATAGAGAGGAGGAAAAATATTTAAGTCTTACAAGAATTAGGCACACGGATGCTTAGGAATCATATAAGTCTAAGATGCTATAATTGAATGTTAAAAAAAATAAGAATCAAAATATGCATTTTTGTCTAGAAACACATGTCTTTTATTCAAGTAACTATCATGTTAGTTGTTTTATCATGAAGTTGTTTTTAAATTTACAGTATTTACAAATACAGTGTAAGGTTTTAATCTTTAACCAAAAGAACATATGCATAACTATATTATCTACTGACTCATACCAATTCTTGTTCTAAAACATAACAAGCCTTACATATTGCTTTATAACTTTAAAGGAAAATTTAGAATCAATGCCTTACGCTTGTAAATTAGTAAATCCTTGGGGCGTTCTAAAAATAAAAATAAGTCTATTTACACTGCAAAAAAAGTATAAACTTACCATCATGATTAGGATTTCCTAGTGTCCATGGCTCATCTGAATCAAAATGAGTATCTCCTCCAATTCCTGGTCCAGGGAAATAGGCATGTGCCAAAAATCCTCCCTCCCCATCAAAGGGAGAACTGTCTCCATGAAAACCAGATGCAAATATAATGGTTATATCCACATCACGTTTGCCATTTTCTAATTCACTGTAGGGAACTTCTTCAAATGTCAGAGGAGTTACATTCTGCCACACATCAAAGGCACGGCGAATAGCCTTACGGGTCTCAGGGTCTCCTACTTTAGGAGTTACGTTCTTTATGCTGAAAGTTAGAAAAGACAATAATTAGCTTGGCTCTATTATGTCAACCTTATTTCAGATTTAGATCATAGCTCAGTAAAATGTAAAGGAAAAAACTAATAATATTAAATTAAAATGAAATTTATGTATTCTTCTTGTCTTCATAGCTAGTTTTTACTCTCTTGGGATCATTAAATTATCAGTAGTATAGTGTTTAATTATCAAAGTTATCAGTGAGAAGATCTTTGCAGAATGGTTAAATGGTTAACAGTCAATTTGCCTCCTGGAGAATAATGCAGAAAGGGAGATCTGCCAAACAATCAAACTCGTACAATGGGTTCAATTTAAAATAAAAATTTCAATTTCTTCATGTTTTTAAATATTTAGAGGTACATCATTGTATCTGCATACATCAATTTCAAATATTGTACTCATGCTTTTCTTTATTTATGAACACTAATTCAGCAGACATTATCACTTCTTAAGTTTTAAACAGAAGATTATAATTTCTGATACACTATTATTTTAACTTTTCTAATTAAAAATGTACTGAGTAATCATATGAATTTAAATCAGACTATTTAGTTTGTTCTTATGCTAACAAAATCAATGAAATATTATCAATATTATTCTTGATTATGTTTATACTAATCAGATACTTATTTTTTCTAGATAATTTTGTTTTTTTCTAACTAAACATAAATGAAACTGATATGTATGTATATGTGTGTATATATGCATAAAATAGATATGCATACATATAAGTAAATAAATATATATTTATGTATATAAATATATGTATGTATAGATTTATATAAATGTATATATTTATATAAGTATATTTATATATTTATATAATATATAGTTTTATGGTTTGGATATGAGGTGTCCCCCAAATCTCATGTGCGAGACTATGCAAGAAAGTTTAGAGGAGAAATGTGAGAGTCTTAACCCAATGAGTGATCGAGATCTACTGTGTGGTAACTGAAGTGGTAGGGTGTGGCTGGAGGAGGTGGCTTTGGGATATATATTTGTATCTGGCAAGTGGAGACACTCTTCTCTGCTTCCTGTTCACCATGATGTGAGCTGCTTCCCTCTGCTACACTCTTCCAGTATGATGTTCAGCCTCACCTTGAGCCCCAGAGAATGGAGCTAGCCTTCTATGGACTAAGACCTCTGAAACCATGAGCCCTCAAAGTTTTCCTCCTTCTATAGTTCTGGTCTGATCCTTTAGTCACAGAAGCGAAAAAGCTTTCTCTCTCTCTCTTATATATATATATATTTATTTTTTTTTTTTTTCCTCCTCTGAGGATTGAACTCAGGGGTGCTTTACCACCCAGCCACATCCCCAGTCCTTTTTTATTTTTTCATTTTGAGATAGGATCTCACTAAGTTGCTTAGGGTTCTAACTGAATTGCTCAGGCTGATCTTGAACTTGTGATCCTCCTGCCTCAGCCTCCCAAGTCACTGGGATCACAGGTATGTGCCACTGTGCCTGGCAAGTCTGTGTGCATGTGTGTGTGTGTGTGTGTTTTGTGTGTGTATGTATTTATTTAGTAATTTTTTTACAGAACTGGGGATTGAACCCAGGGCCTTGTGCAGGCAAGGCAAGCATTCTACCAACTGAGCTATATCCCTAGCCCTAGTCTATATATTTTTTACGTTGCAGTACAATAAACCCTTGACATGAATGTACAACACTGGGTAAATTCCACGGGAGTGATAAGTGAGTTTCAAACCCTTTCAAACAATAATGTCTTCCAAATATGAATTTATACTAAGAAAATATTTTAGTACAAAAAGACTATAATGTTCAAGAACTGGAAGCTAGTGATGGAGTGATAGTCAAATTACAGTGTCTCTAATGTATGTCATTGTATATATAGAACTCAAAATTATTTTGCTTTTAAAATGTATTAATCAACATATCAAAACTTTTAGCCAGGTGTGGTGATGCATGCCTGTAATCCCAAGGGGTTGGAAGGCTGAGGCAGGAGTTCAAAGCCAGCCTCAGCAATAGTGAGGTGTTAAGCAACTCAGTGAGACCCTGTCTCTAAATAAAATACAAAATAGGGCTGGGGATGGGGCTCAGAGGTCAAGTGCCCCTGAGTTTAATCCCTAGTACCCCCTCCCCTGCCAAAAAAAAGTAAAAACTTTTAATATATACTCTCCAGTGGCAAAGAATAATATGGAGACAATATGCAACCCAAATGTAACTATGTCCAGATAACCACAATGGCAGTCAAGAGTTATGCTAAAGTAATAATTGTATTATTTGAGCATTCACTATAAGCCAGGCAAGCACTTTACAACATCTAATTATATTCCTGGAACAACCCAATGAGATGGGCTTTTATACCTATCTTACAAAAAAGGAAGTTAAGGTTTATAGGAATCTAGAGAAATTTTTCTAAGTGTCAGATCTGGAGAGCTCTAAAAAGCTTCATCCTAAACATTGTCAGAATCCATTGTCTTGAATTCTATTGCTAGTTCTTTATAAGAAAAGTAAGGTTTCCAATGACTAATTAATGATAACTATTATTCATTATATACAAGAAAAAAGAAGAAATCCAAGTAGAAATGGAATGAAGGAGAGGAGTACTACAGAAAGAAAGGGTAAGTGGAAGGTCTTCAAGTGGAGATAATCTTAGTAATTCAAATGACAGCATGGTACCTGGTATAGGTTAGAAAGCGGGTGGGGTGAGGGTCAGGACATTGCTCTGAGTCACTGCAGCATCAGGAGCATCTTATTCTTCAAATAGATAACTTGAGCCATGATGTAGAAAATATATTAAAGCAGAACAAAAGTTGAAACAGGAAGACCCATTGGGAACTATTGTAATTACAAGTCTAGGCGCTTTGGACCAGTAGAAGTAGTAGAAGAGACACTGAGAAGTAGTTGTATTTTGGATGTGCTTTGACGATAAACCCACTATAACTTATGATTAGTCATAAGCTCTGAGAGAAAAGGAAGAGCTGAGAAGGCACCACAATTTTTTTACCCCAGCCAAGCCGTGAACAGAGTAAAAGAATTCATGCCTTCTCAGGAAGAAAGGTAGGCAGTGTTCTGTTGTTAATTTGTTAGTTGGCTTTAATTCTGTGTCCTACTCAGTATTGTTCTCTGAGTTATATTTTGAGAAAGAATGAATATCTACATTGAGCACTACAGACCTATGTCTAGCTTGGTCTCTAAATTTCCTGTTTTGTGGGTGAAGAGGTAAGCAGAATAATGTCGGAACTCTGAATATTGACTTACCATATAATAGGTACTGGCCTAGATGCTAGAATCTTCTGTTACAGTGCTCACATATTTTAGTGACAAGAGATAGACAGTGAAAAGAACATAAAACAGTGATAATTTCAGGTGGCAATATGAGGGGTGGGAAGGTGAGGTGAAGAGATTATAAAAATTATTTCAATGACAGGAGGAATGAAAAGAAACCCAGTACTGAGTTTCCCACCAGAAAGAACAATAAGCAGGTCAAGCAAACTGGGTCAGTTCAGAGCATGTGCCTGCTGAGTGAGTTGGGGTAAAATGAACATGACAGACAATGATACAAAATTAGAGAGTACTGGCGGGAATTGGATTGCATTCTGTGAAGGGGGAAGCCACTGCAGAATTTTAAGCACAGAAGTTCCTTGATATTATTCCAGTCACAAATATGGAAAATGGAGAGGGGACAAGAATGGAAATAATAAAACATTTCAGAAGTCACACAAGAGAAGATAGAAATATGGATAAGGCTGATAGCCATGGAGACCAACAGGACTGGTTTTTACTATATTTTCTAAACGATTATATTTTGCCAAATTTTCTAAGAGAACTGTTGATGTGGATTGGTGATGAATTCCATGTGAAAAAGAGAAATTAATTGTTTACTTCAAGTAATAAATAATAATACAAATAGGAAAAATAAAATTATCAGTATGACTTATATACAAGTACACAATGATTCTGAAAAAACAAAGCAAAAATACAGTAAAGAATAATGAATGTGGAGCACTGTTTGGATTTGAAAAATACATCCTTGCATTTTGTGAAGCTACGTACTAATGAACTTCCAAAATACTTCAACACAATACATGTGGTGTCATTAATAAACATAAGACATACAAATGTGCTTCAGAATCAGAGCTCAAGTTCTGAAACCGGTGCAAACAAAAACAGGAGTTTAGAAACTTTTATGCCATTGAGAGGTATATTTTGTATTTACTAATATCTAAAATAAAAAGTGCACAGAGAGATCATGTGTAATAAGAATAAAATAGACTGATATTCTGAACAATTCTAATAAGGGATGCGCAAAAGATTAAATATACTAACAAAAAAGAAATGCTATAAAATGAATATAATGAAAGTTTATTCTGAAAAACTTAACAAAGCTAAATTAATTTTAAAATATTTTACTTGCTTTTTATTCTTTTTGATAAAGTTAATATACTTCTTAAGACAATGGGTTTATTTTTCTCAAGTCTGTATCTGGTTATTTCACTATTCTATTTCACTGATTCTTTTAAACTTCAATTTCAATACATTTTGGAAATCTAACCTAAAAAGTTGATAATAGTTATCTTTGATATTAGACCACACCTTATACAATTTTACATAAAATTGATGAAGAGAAAAGTTCTAGATGTTACTCATCAGAATACTGGCAAAAATGTATGTCATTTAGCTGACAATAGGTAACTGCAGAAAGTTAGAATTGTCTAGTTTTAACATCATCAGATCCATACCAGAATAAACATTCTACATACTTAAGATTATTGATCCTTCCATTTTTTGATATATTGATAAATCTCTTTCAAAGTTACATTACTGTTTTATCTCTAATAGAGAAAACAAGAAAAAATAGCTACATACCTTTGCAATAAAAAATATTATTCTTGTGTCAAAATTATTTTTATATGAAGAAAGTTAAATAGCATTCATAATTAAATAGAAAATTATTTATTTGGAACAGCTCACTAATATTTTATGCAAAATTATTATCAACTAAAGGAAATCTACTGTGTAGGAAA